CATTCGGGGCCAGGGGGCAGGCAGGATGCGAGAACGGGAAACAAGAATAGCCCCAATTTAGCTAACCTGGTGGCTCTCTCCCCACTCAGGAATTTCTTTTTTTTTTTTTTTCTTTTTTCCTTTTTGTCTTTTTTCATGTCCGGCAACGGACCGCAACCCTCAGTGTCGCGCCCGTACCGGACCGGGACCGGCAACGGGATTGCAACCCTCGGTGCTGCGCCTACCCCTCACTCAGCCAGTGAGCGGGAACCGGTCTGTATGTGGGATCCGAACCCTCGGCAGGAGCGCCGCTGAGCTCCCAAGCGGCGCACTGTAGCAGTGTGCCACCGGGCCAGCCCCACTCAGGAATTTCTAACCCGCCCAGGGTCTGTAGAGAAGAGTGCCCCAGCCAGGGCTTGGGGCTTTGGGCTTTGGGGGAGGGATTTGTGATTGACAGTATTCCTTTCCATCTGGGGCCTGCCCTGCTGCTCCTTGGATTCCCCTGCCTCCCTCCCTTCCCTACCCCTTGGGCTCCAGGCCTCTGTTCCTGCTGGTCAGCCTCGTATCCTGCCTGGAATGTTCTGTTGGCCTGTTATGAGCCTTTGCATGGAGCCTTCACCATGCCGCTTGTCTCTTCTGTGGGGTACCGTCACAGACCAAAGGGGTCTCCAAGGTGCCTGGCCGCTCTCTGCAATCGCCCCATCTGACTGCCCCCCGCCCAAGCAGAGAGCTCCTATTGGAACGCAGTGTCCCTCGAATAGTACACAGTAGTGTTGGTGGGGTTGTGGATGGCGTCCACTGCCCCTCCCTGGAAGACCCTCTTCTGGACAAGAGCAGATTTGGATTGGATCCCGAGAAGTGGTGGTCACGCCGGGATCTGCAGAAGGGGTGTGGAAGGTTTGAGAAATCAGGCCGAGCTCGTGCCGATCTCTGCCTCCCTTAAGAAACCTTGAAGATGACAGAAAAGACAAGTGAATAGACTAGTAAACGCACAGCGTGCTTGACCATGCCAGGAGAGCTCGCAGTGGATCTTGGCCTCATGCCCCAAAGAGGGACAAGAGGAAGCCACCTCTGCCCTGGCTGGCGAGTGGGAAGCCGCTGTGGCTCGGAGGCGCTCAGCTGCCTGCAAGGCCAGCGGCGGGAAAAGCTCAAAGAAGCTGAGCTCATGGGGGCAGCTGGCACCCAGCTAAAAAATAGAGCATGTCTGCTCTCCAGAGTTCCTGGGGGTGGGGGTGATGTCCCTGAGACGGGCAGAGGTTAGGCATCAGGCATGGGTCGTCAAGGGAGAAAGCTGGCGACAGGTTTTGGAAACAAAAAATGTGGGCAGTCCACTGTGGTGCACCCCCCACCTGCCCACCTCCATGGTGGTGGCAGGACCTCCAGGTACTGCACAGTGGTCGAAGAGGCGGCCCTGGTACTGTGTGGCACACACCACGAGGCCAAGTACAGCGGGGTGGGGCTGGTCACAGGAGTGCTGGGGGTCTGAGTGACAGCATGGGTTCCCTTGTGCCCACCAAGGGCCAGATGGTTAGATGGAAAAGATCATCACAGAGGGCTACAGGGACCCCCACTGACTATCCAGAACATCCAGAGCACACTCCCTCTCCAATGGGACCTCTCAGAGGCTTTCAAGAAGCACCATGTGGAGTGTTAGCACAGGAGAACCGGGGTCCAGTGTCCACAGATCTCTCTGTGTGATTTCTGTTTTTTCTATTGGTGGCAGCCAGTACAGGGATCCAAACCCATGACCTTGGTGTTATAAGCCTGTGCTGTAACCAACTGAGCTAACTGGTGGCCCATCTCTGCGTGATTTCTTAGAGCTGCTTGTGAATCTACAGAGTTAAAAAAAAAAAAAAAACACTTAAAAATCCATCTCGTGGAGATTCATGGTTAAAGTACAGTTCTGGGAGACCTCGAGAGAGGAAACCAACCCAACTATCCAATTTATCTACATTTCCCAAATTATGTGACCACAGACTCTTTCCCTGGAAGCCCCTCCGAGCGGCCCGGATCAGGCGCCGCCCCTTCTTGTTGAGTCCTGCGCTTCCTTGAGAATCTGGAGCGGATCTCCCCAGTCCTCTTGACCTAGAAACCTGAGCTAGTTTCTTCTGAGTTTCTAGAACTCACTTTTTCTCCTGGGGAGTCCGCTTTTCTGTCGTTATTGAATCACTGTGGCGCCTGCGAGAAGTGCGTGAGAGGCTGCATTGGGGGTGGGGTGCAGCACCTGGTCTGCAGATGGGGGAATGCTCCACGGACACCAGGACAGTAGGTGGCAGCTCAGGAACTCCTGTGATGGGAACTCCGCAAAGCCTGCTTCCAGTGACAGAGCTGAGACCCTGCTTCCCCCAGGCAAGGGAATCTTTTTCCAAGGGAGCTGGGGACTCAGACATAGGGACTCCCTACTGCAAAGGCACAGGAGGGTGACTGTCCAATCATCCATGCAAGAGACTCACAGACCAGGCCTCCTGGCCCTGCTCCTCCTGCTGCTCGCAGCCCCCGTGATGCCCAAGACAGAGTCCGCCCTCCCTTGGTGAGGGAGGTCGTCTGGGATGGCCGTGGCCTCACCCGACGGACTTCCGTACTCAGAGTTTCCAAAAGACACCTACACCTGTTGACATTCCTAGTGTTTGAGTTCTTAGGCACAAAGAGCAAGTTCTTTACAACTGGAACCTTATGCCCCCCCGACGAGAATGTCACGAGGGCCTGAGTATAACTACAGTGCCTTTCCTGGCACAGATGAATGGGTGTCCGTTGCTTTTATGAAAACGGGCCTCCTTGCATACAAGCTCCTCCAAGCATGTGCTGGCCTTGGGGCGCTAGGACATTGGCGATGGGGCTCAGACCAATATACTGCAGCCCCAACCCTAAGAACTACGTCCCCTTTGCAGGTGGAGTTTGAGGATGGATCCCAGCTGACAGTGAAGCGAGGGGACATCTTCACCCTGGAGGAGGAGCTCCCCAAGAGGGTCCGGTCACGGCTGGTAAGTCTGCACAATGCTGGGAAGCCACTTGGGCTCCGTGTTGCTTCTCAGAGCCCATCCAGGATGTGGCAGAGTGCAGATTACATCTCTGAATGGCCTTGACTGGTCCCTCCTCGACCTTTGTTGCCATGGGTGACACCCCACCATGCCATTCTGCCAGGGCCCAGCTGGTCCACCCGGTTCCTTTGCCTTAACACAGAAGGACCCCTGAGAGCCTGTGGTGGTAGGAGGGAGGGGATTATAGGAGCCCCAGCCCCTACCCCTTGTCACGAGAGCCTGGCAAGGCAGAGGACAAACCTGCCCGAAGCCCCTGCGTGCTGCAGCCACCATGGCCAGTGCGTTGTGAGGCTTACAGCACTCAGTGCCCAAGCGCCCACTGCAGCTGCTGGAACATCTCTGGGTGTTCCAGAGCACAAACCAGATCTGAGCACCCAGGTTGGCAGTTGAAAGAAAAAAATGCTTCAAAGCTCATCCCTTGTTAAAGAGGACTTGTGAGTGAGTCCTAGAGGCAGCAGATATAGTGAATGGCTTTTTCTCCCATAGCTGTTGCAGGCTTTTCTTTCTTTTTTAATCCCAAGGCAAGGTTTTGAGGGGCAGGAGGGCATGGCCAGAGGTAACTCAGCTCAAGAAAAGAGAATGTGGGGTTGCACTTCTTACAGGAGGGCTCAGCGGCTTTTTCTCCCATAGCTGTTGCAGGCTTTTCTTTCTTTTTTAATCCCAAGGCAAGGTTTTAAGGGGCAGGAGGGCATGGCCAGAGGTAACTCAGCTCAAGAAAAGAGAATGTGGGGTTGCACTTCTTACAGGAGGGCTCAGCTGACTTTGGCCTCAGGAGGTTCCCTTGGGGAGCAGACCAGAGCTGCCAGGGCCTCCCAGACCACTGGGGGGCCAGTGGCTGGGCAGGAGTGTGGGGCTCCTCTCACTTGCAGGATTAGGGATTCACGCAGAAACAGGAGTCGTCCAGTGATCAGTTGTCTGTGTCTGCAAGGTCGTTTGCTGGGAGACAGTGGCCCACGCCCCTCAGCAGCCCCCAGCAGCTACACTAACCCCTGTGCTCTCTGGTCTCCTGCAGTCACTCAGCACGGGGGCACCGCAGGAGCATGCCTTCTCAGGAGAGGAGGTGAAGGCCGCCAAGCGCCCGCGTGTGGGCACCACGCTCGCTGCTGAGGACTCGGGGCGCAGCCCAGACTATCTGACCTTCATGGAGAACTTCCTGCAGGCGCAGGGCCGGCCTGGAGCGCCTTTCTAGGACAGCCGGCCTGGGCGACCCTTCAGCCCAGCAAGGCAGGCCACGGCGGGTCCTGGGCGTTTGCTTGCTGTGAATTCCTGTCCTCGAGTCCCCCCAGCCCCTGAGGGGCTACCTCCGTGCTGTGGGTACCCCTCTGTGGGGCGACAGGAGCAGGCAGGACGCCGCACACGGCCCCCAGACTCAGGGAGCAGGGCCACGCGGGCTCGGGGCGGCCGGGGGTGCGCCACCCACTCAACTCAGATTTTTAAACCATGTAAGCTCTCTTCTTCTCGAAAAGGTGCTACCGCATTGCCACTGAGCAACCTTTGAGATTGTGACTTCTGTACATAATCACCTTTGTGAGGCTCTTTCTATAAATACCTATTGTTTTAAAAAAAAAAAAAGGAAAACAAAGAAAAGGAAAAAGTCCCCAAAGTTGTTTTCTAGATTTGTGGCTTTAACAAAACAAAACAAACATGTTCTTTTTCTCAGAACGAAGATACGCTGAGGGAGGTAAATGCATCTCATTGTTTTTTGTTGTTGTTTTAAAATATGATTTGTCTATTGAGCAGGCAGGGAAGGGGTGTGTGGCGGCTGGAATGTCCTAGTATCTCAAGGCAGTTCTGCAGCTGTCGTGTGACCTGCGGTGGCCCAGGAGGGTGGGCAGATGCCCCAGTCACAGGTGAGTGACTGGGTCTCACTCTCGCCTTGCCCTGGCTCCTGGACTGTGATGGTCCCAGCAGCTGCCTCCCGCCGCTGCCTGCACCTGTCACTCTCTGTGCCTGATAGGAGGAGGCCAGGGGTCCCTTGAGTTGCCGAGCCCACATGCCGGCCAGCAGGAGCCACGGGACCCAGGTGCCTGTCTCCCATGTGCCCGCACCTTTGCAAAACAAACCGTCTCTCTGGTTTGCTCCTCTATGCTTCTCCCCCCAAGAGAATCGCTCTACAGCTGAGGCCGCAGATGTTCGAGAGGCTTCCTCTCAGACAACACGTCCCCTGCACCCGCGAGGCCTCGGGGAGGAGGATCCCTGCGCGTGTGCCGGGCGCTGGTCAGCACCAAGCGCGGCCTCCCGGCGCGGCTCTCGGTGCGGGCTCTGAGCGTGTTAGGGTCGGGCCTTCCAGGCGGCACAAGTCTCATGGGGCTCCAGCCACCCAGGCGCCCCCCGCTTTGTCCAGTCTCCTGTGCAGGGAGGGCTGCCGGGACCCCGGGGCTTGGTCCGTCCTCCGCTTCTGCCCTCCGGGATCCTGTTTGTAACTCGTGGACTTGCGTGTTTGGGAGAAAGGGAGCGGGGGAGTCGCTGCTTTCAACGTGGGGGGATCTGCGGGTTGAACTGATGATGAGAGAACAGGTACTTCACAGGCCGGCTTGGGAAGCGGCTTCCCATGGTGGCCCAGGAGGGAGGCGGCTCCCGCAGCCCTGCCCGCCACCTCCACCCCACGCCCTCTGCGGGGCCACCTCCCGTCGCCCGGGGAGGCTGAGAAGATGATCAGCTTGTATAAAGAAAAGTTATTAAAGAGTGTTCTGATGGTTGCCAGGCCAGAGAACTATTTAAGGAAAAGGGAGAGAATCCTCTGTGGGGGGAGGAGGAAAGGTGGGGTTCCCCTGAAGCATGGGGTCTCCCTCTGCGGGTGCGCAGCCCCCGGTGCGGCCTGCGCTGTATTCATATGTAGTTTGCAAATGCTATTTATATTGTAAAGAGAGTACAAAGCAGCAGGCCCTGCCCTGCAGTGGGTCGGCCTCGGGGTGCAGACAGGCCACGGAGAGGGTGGCAGGGGACAGGCATTTCCCCCACGGAGACACTTCTGTGTCTTACTCTATGAAACACAGAACAAAACAGCCCACCCACCCTGGTTTTCTCCCCCACCCCAGATTAAGGATGCGCTGTATTTTCGCCTAATTTCCCTGCCTCTAGGTTCATAATGAATTAAAGGCTCGTGAGCACTGCAGATTCCCGCTCTGTGTCGCCTGACGTGTCTTCATTTCTGAGTTCGTGCTGGGGGATGGCTGGTGGATCAGCCCATGCATGGTGGACGGGGTTTGCTTCCAGAGTTGGATGTCACAGACTGTGTCCATAACGGACTCCCCTCATCCCCCCACTGTCCAGAGCCCTCCACGCCGGAGGCTGTCAGGACCCTGCATGGCAGCCCAGGTGGCAGGGGTGGCTGAGGTAGTGTGTCCCCCTCACTTGTCCTGGCCCAGAGGCTGTCCCATCCAAGACCTCTCCCAGCCTGAGCCCTAGGGCCATCATTTGTGGTGGGGGCTGGAGGACATGCCAGGCAGTGGGGTGAGGCTGGAACCCCAGCAGTCACAGACCCTATCGCGCATCAGTAATGAGCACCCACCACACCCCAGGCCCTGTGAGTGGCACAGGCCGCAGTGCCAGCACAGGAGGCCTGGCCCCGCCCCATGGGTCTGACGCTCCTGGGAGAGGCCCACGGTGAGTAGAACTGTGGGATGTGTCAGATGTGACAGTAGAAGAAAGGGAACGGCTGTGAGGGGTGTGGCCTGGGTGTCGCCGCAGTTTTAAACAAGGACACCTGAAGGGAGGTAGGATCCATGGGCGCAGCTTGGCAGAACAGCACGTGCAAAGGCCCTGGGGCAGGACCAAGCCTGGCACGGAGGAACAGTGAGGAGGCCCATGTGGCTGCAGCACAGTGAGGAGGGGGATTGAGGGAGAAGGGGAAGAGAGGGAGGGGACAGAGCAGGTCATGCAGGGTCTTGTGGGCTACGGGGAGGAGTTGGGCCTTTACTCTGAGGAAGGTGGGAGCCATGGAGGGCTGTGGGCAGAGGAGGGACAGGGCCTGACTCAGGTGCTCACGGGCGCCCTCTGGCGGCTGCGGGGAGGACATGCGGGGAGGCGGGGTGAGGGTGGGAGTCGGGCCCAGGGTGGAGGCGACAGGACAGTCAGGTGCAGTGAGAAGTGGGCAGATTCAGGGTATGTTCTGAAGGCAGGACTGATGGGAGGGGCCGGGGGGGCCCAGGGTGACTTGCATGTTATCACCTGAACACTTGGAAAGACAGAGTTGACAGAACTGGGATGGGGCTGGTCAGATGTGAACGCGAGATCCCCCCCGGGAATCAAGGGGTGGCTGGCCTGGGTCTGGGGACGGCCAGCCCCAGGGTAGGCATCCAGGGCCTACAGCTCCCAGGTGGGCAAAGTCACCTGGCAGGGAGTAGATGGGGGCAGGGAGGGACCCAGGACTCGGACCGGGGTGACTGTGGTAGGACGGGGAGGGACATAAAGAGGAGCCTAGACAGGGCAGCGGTGACGGGGGCTACCCAAGAGGTGTCCCTCTCCGGCCTGGGGTCTCCTCAGCAGCACAGCATCCTCCTGGCCTCTCAGCCCACTTCCAACATCCTCTTGACACTGCAAGGACTCAGTTTCCCCCTCTGCTTCGGGGGGCAGAGGGGTGGGCTTCCTGCCACTCCCTGGGAGCCAGCGCTGGGTGAAACGTGTGGCCAGAGCAGAGCGAGCAAGGGGCAAAGGTGGGGTCGCTCTTTTCTCCCAGAGTCTCACAAGCCTTCGCCACACGGAGCCAGACACAGCCACGATGGGTCAGCGTCCTCTGAGCGTCCCCCACACCTGGTGGACCCATTTGTCTTCAGACCCCAGGAGGGGCTGCCATCCGGCCATCTGCGTGTCTGCACGGGCAGAAACATCCCAAGACGGGGAAGGCAGTTTGGTGCAGGCCATTGTGTCTGCCCGGCCAGATAGGTCCCAAATGTGCCACTGCGTGGAACTGACAGGGTCAGTGCTGGGGACCGCATGGGCACCCCGGATGCTGCCATGTGCAGGACCCTGCGGTCAGCAGCGGAGTTTGGCTCATTTGCTCAGGCAGCAATATTTTCCCTGAACCACCCTGTGCCAGGCCCTGGGGAGATGGCTGAGGAGAAGAAAGACACAACCAGAAGTACCGCTCTGACACGTGCCCTGAGGGACAAGGACAGGACAGAGGTGGAGGGTAAGTGGGTGGGGGGTCACAGAGACCTGTCAGAGGGATGTTGGGGAGACCCTTCTAAAGAGGGGACGTTTAAACAGATCTGACCCCTCATGGGACAGTGGGTCTGAGAGACTCAGGCTGTGGGAACATCACCACTGAGTGGTGTCCTCCTAGGGCGATGCCCCACATCCTACACCCCAGGCCAAATCGGGCCCTTTGACTGTTTCTGTAAATAAAGTTTTATTGGCACACGGCCACACCCAGTCATTTACATACAGCGGCTATCCTCCAATGGCAGAGCCCGCCAACCTGAACATGTGTAGTATCTGATCTTTTACAGAAAAAAGTGTGTTCGTCCCTGACCTGGAGGAAGCGGGAGGTGGCAGCCTCCACTCCTTCCCCATGCCTGCGACAAATGGGTCTCTCTTGGGGACAGCCTCTCTGTGCCCAGACCCACCCTGTCTCTCAAAGGCTCCCAGTTAGGCGGGCGGTGTCCCTAGCGGCCCCCCAGCCCCCTGGAGCATGACAGAAAAAGGGCTTTACCCAGGGACCCTCCATCCACCCCCGGGGATCTCTGCCCTCTACCCTCGGGCCACCCCTGCTCATCCTCCTAACAGCTGGGAGAAAGACGTGACATGCTTGGATGCAGCCCCTGCAGCTGTCCCCCACCATTTGGCCTAGGCAAGGGGGGACAGAGGATGCAGCTTCCCTTCCCCCTGCAGCCCGTGAGTTCTGGTTCTAACCTCGACCTGGTCATGATTCATGTGGCCAGCCACCCACCCCACCTGCTCCCCCAAGCCCCAGGCTGCCCCCACCCCAGTGAGGCTGTCTGGGGACACCAAGTCACAGCCCATCATGACCATTAGGGGTATAAGCATCCCAATGTCGCCCTGGGCCGCAGAAGCCAGGCGCAGTCAGCGCGCGCTGTCAGCTGCGGGACATGCCTCGGGCCTGGCACCCGCGCCAGGGAGTGTTATTTATGGATTAGATTTACTTAGTGCTTTTGCTCTGTTAATGGAGAAAACAAGAATTATTTGCTGCCACCCGCAGCCCAAGGGGTGACACATGGTGGCTGTGGAGGCGAGGTTGGGGAAGAGTGAGCCTCTGGGCACATCGGCACATCATCCATCCCAGTGACAGGGACAAATGATCCCCCTCCCGGCAGCTTCCAGAAGGCAGCGGAGAGGGGCCTCAGGGCCCAGACGGTGCCCACCCGCACCCCACGAGCCCCGCAGCTGCCTGCCTTTAGAAACATGAAGCCCAAGATGTGGTTTGGAAATAGTCCCCGTGGCTCCCGCCCCTTCCAAAGACCCCCACCAGCCCCCCAACACTTACTGTTCTCTTGCCCCCTGAATTCGTTTCCCAGGGGTACCATGACAAAGTGCCACAAACCAGGGGTGTAAACAACAGAATTATCCTTTCACGGTTCTGGAGACCAGAGGTCTTAGGTCAAGGTGTGGCCCCTCCAGAGGCTCTAGAGGAGGATCCTTCCTGCCTCTTCCAGCTTCTGGGGGCTCCAGGTGTTCCTGGACTTGTGGCTGTGTCACTCCAGTCTCTGCCTCCATCGTCACATGGGCATCTCCTCTCTGTATCTTTTCTGTGTGTCTCATAGAGGGACACTTGTCATTGGATTCAGGGCCCACCCAGGTAATCCAGGCTGATCTCCTCATTTGAAGGTCCTTAAATTAAATGCATCTGCAAAGACACCTGTTTTCACATAAGATCACATCACAGGTTACAGGGAATGAGATGTGGGCAGATCTTTTTTTTTTTTTTTTTTTCCTTTTTGTCTTTTTTCGTGACCGGCAACAGGATCGCAACCCTCAGTGTCACGTCCACACTGCGCTCAACCAGTGAGCGGACCAGTCTCTATATGGGATCCGAACCCTCGGCGGGAGCGTTGCCGCACTCCCAAGCGCCGCGCTCTACTGAGTGTGCCACCGGGCCGGCCCTGGGCAGATCTTTTCTGAGGCCACCCATCAAGCCACCAGTCTTTTCCTCACCACAGACCCAATAGCCCTGTGCCCTAAATGTCTCTTCCCATGACTGTCCTCTCCGCAAACACTTGACCATGAGCCCCATGAGGTCTTGGTCCCCTCAGCATCTGCAGTGCCCAGCCCAGGGCCTGGCAGGTGGTTCTCTGAGTCCTGGTGTTGGCAGGACCACGGATGTGGGAAGGCAGGCTACAGAAGGATCTCAGAGGCTGAAGTCCATGATCCAGGGTATGACTCACCCTGGAGGGAGTACCAGCAGGAGGGCAGACATGAGCTTGGTGGTTGGATCACCCACAGGTGGGTCTGAGCCTCAGAGGATGACAGTGCAGGTGGTACAGATGGCCTGGGGCCAGGGTGGGCATGGGCATCCCGTTCCCCACTCACACCAACCAGTCTCATCAATCCCACCAGCAGCTGCTCCGTCCTGGTTTCCTGAAGACCCCAGCCCACACATACCTGGGACCTAGGTGCTGGGAACTCCATAGAGCCCACAACTTTTGGAGGAGACAATTGCTGGTGTCAACATTACCAAGAGTTCAAAAAGGTACCTGGGAACAGTTTGATGGTTCTTCAAAAAGTTGAACATACAGTTATCAAATAATCCAGCAATTCCACTCCTAGACATCTACTCTAATTGGAAGCAGGGACTCAAATAGATATTTGCACACCCATGTTCATAATGACATTATTCACAGTAGCCAAAAGGTGGAAACAACCCAAGTGTCCATTGTCAGATGAATGAATAAACACAACGTGGTCCATCCATACGATGGAATATTACTCAGCCATGAAAAGGAACGAGGCTGTGACACACACTACCATGTGGATGGACCTTGAACATGTCATGCTCAGTGACAGACACCAGACACAAAAAGCCACACAGTGTGTGATTCCATTTATATAAAATATAGAGAGTACATATCCATGGAGACAAAGTAAATTGGAGGTTGCCAAGGGCTGGGGATGGGGGAGTGAGAAAGGACCTTTTAATGGGCATAGAGTCTTCTTTTGGGGTGATGAAA